ATATGATTGAAATAATATAGAAATAGATAGATAGATAGAAAGAGAGAGAGAGAGAGAGAGAGAGAGAGAGAGAGAGAGAGATTCCCAATAATCGTTGATAATAATAACAATTGAAAATTTGGTCAAACAACACTTGAGGAAGACGAAAGAAAAATATTGCTATGGGTTTCAAAAATAAGAAAAAATTATTTATGAAAAAAAAGAAAAAATTTTAAAATTTAAAAAAACAAAAAAAAAAATTTACAAAACGAAAAATTTTGAAAGAAAAAATCAATAAATCATTCGAATGTCTTTATCATTCGAATTTTTGGCAATCCTCCCTCCCCCCTCTTCCACAACAAGTTTTTCTCCTCCCCCAATTTTTTTTTTTGTTAAGCTAAACTGTGATGTGCATAATTTTTTTCTAAATGATCAAATAACGATGACCCGCCCATTATGAAGTAAAAAAAAAAAATGTTAACACCTTTTTTTCAACCACCACCACCTCCCCCTTTTTTCCAATCAAACATTGATTGTTTTGTTTTAGTTAATCGTTGTCGACAGGTGAAAAACAAAGAAAGGTGGAAAAAAATAACGCTGCAACAGCTAACTAACACATACACACACACACCTGAGATCCATCTCAGGACCTGTACCTGATGAACAAAAAAAAAAGTAGGCAAGAGAGGGAGAGAGAGAGAGCGATCATTAGCATCATTAACAATGGGAGAAAAAAAAACACAAAAAAGATTCAATATAGATTGGTTGTGGCTTTTCAACGTAAATGAACGAACGAAACTGAAACATACAGGTGGTATATAGAATATATGAAAAAAAAACACAAAAACAAAAAAATCTACCTGAATAAATCTGAAATGACTTGTTGAATGAAACAACAAATTATCGCTACTGCTTCTCTCTCTCTCTCTCTCTCTCTCTCTCTTTGATGTTGTTTTTTTCTTCTGAATGTGATTACAATGATCAGAGTGTAGGAGAACAAAAAACAATCATAAAAAACGCATTTGTAATAATTAATAAAGGTGTATGCTTTATGCCGAAAGAGAGAGAGAGAGAGAGAGAGAGAGAGAGAGAGAGAGAGAAAACGGTGTTTTTTATTGATTGAACCGGTGTTTTTTGTTGTTGTAGTTGTCGCTTGTTTGTTTGATGATTAAATCAGCAACGACAGCAATTTGTCATCATCAAATCAAATCAACAACAAAAAAAATGAATATAAAAATGCAATCAACAAAAAAAAAATTTATTCAAAAGTGATTTCGTTTTGGTTTTTCTGATGGTTTCGCTGTGATGGTTTCCTAGATGTTTGATTTTTTTTTGGCTGATTTTTCATCTTGACCTTTTTTTTTCTCTTGGTTGGTTTTGAAAAAAAAAATTTCCTTTGGAATTTCCTGTGTAACCACAACAGCAGTTTTTTTCTTTTGCTGGGAGAATTTTATGCAGATTTTTTTTTGTGTGATCAAAATTCATAGTGAAAAAAAATAGCAAGAGGAAAAATGAATCCCACTTACCTTTATCAATATCCTCGTCATCATCATCAAAATCACCATAATCAACAGCAGCATCCAATTTCATCAACAGATCAAATGATGATGATGACGATGATGAGTAATCAAGATGAACATCAGCAGCATCAGCATCAGCATCAATCCATCAATTTTGGTGAAAGATTATCCACATCAACAACAGCAGCAACAGCAACAATATTTAATGAAACATCAAATGATTATTATCGTCGATTTGATGATGGACATCATACTGATGATCTGGTTGATTATCCACAACAACAACAGCAACCGATAATGTACCATTCACCATCAACAACAACAACAACAACATCGACGGATTCGGAAAATGTTTCTGTTGTTGGAAATCTTCAGAATAATTCCGATTCGGAAACCACCACCACCACCAATACATCATCATTATCACCATTATCAATGATAAATCAAACAAAACAAACAATAAATACAAATTCAGCATCATATCAACGATCATTATTAAAGCTACAACATCGTAGATTAAATGAAATGACATTAAAATGGTTAGATGATAATTATGAATTAAGAGATGGTATTTGTTTACCAAGATGTTTAATATATCGTCATTATTTACAATTTATGAATTGTAATGCATCCGATTCGAAACCGGTTGGTGCAGCTGCATTTGGAAAGGTAATTTGATTGATTTTTGATTTGTTTTGTTTGTGTTTTTTCATCGATGATGATCATTTTCTTAATCGATTGTTTAGTTGGTTAGGCAAAAATTTTCCAAAATATCAACACGTCGTTTAGGTACACGTGGTCAATCCAAATATCATTATTATGGTATTAGCATACGACAAACATCACCATTATTTCATGAACAAACATCATTAGTTTCATATCAAAATTATGGTGGTTCACCATCAAGTTTAGCATTACAAGATTTACGTTATCATCAACCAAAACAACAACAACAACAACAATCGAATCAACAACAACAACAACAACAACAACAACAATATCATCATCATTCACCAAACAATTATCATGAACAAAATTATTATCATGAACAAAATTATGAACAAAATGAAATAATGGATGATATTTCAATGAATGGTTATCATTTTTCGAATCATCAACATCAACAAACAACAATCGATAGTCAAAATTGGCATACAACAATCGATTGTCAACAAATCCCGTATCAACATTATTCGAATCAATCGGAAAATTCATTTGTACCATCAACACCAAATACGGTTGTTTTTAATGATAATTCTGGAACTGCAACAGCCGCAACCGATGATGGAATGACAATTTATCGTCAATTACAATTGATAAATGATTTTGAACAACAACAACAACAACAGCCGAATTTGACCTATAATGATGATGATCGATATCATTCGGATACATTAATGGCAAGACAACCATCACATCAACATTATCATCATCATCATCATCATCATCAATCAACAAATTTCAATGATGAACAAAGAAAAATTTCTTCATTAGAAATTGAACATGAAATGGATGAATTTATATGCCGTAAACAACAACAACAACAATGTCCATCAGCAACAATAACAGCAATACAATATTTTCAAAATATGTATCCAAAAGTTGATGATTTTGAATCAATTCGGCCATCAAATATTTCCGCAACAATTGTATCAACATTTTTATTAATGTATCGTAGTCATTGTGAACGTTTATTTGATACATTTCAATTGGCTAATGTTGATGAAATGCGACGATCATTATTGAATTTTTGGTATCAAATGCCATCACATTTAGCACCATTTTTATCATCATCACCATTTGCTTATCAGGTAATCAAACAAATCGATACATTATTGTATAGGGTAAGTTCATATCTATGATTCATTTCAAACTAAATGTTTTTGAATAACGAATGATTATTGTTGAAAAAACATTAGACAATGGAAGATTTTTTCTCACAACTAAGCCTGTTACCCGAAATGTCCGATACATTTATCAAAGATATTCGTTATATAATAGAAAATTTTGAACAATGGTTATATTCAGCAATTATGGATCCAATGGGTCAAATGTGTTTAATTATTTATCAATATCGTTATGATTTGGAAATAATTTCATCTACGACAACAACAACAACAAATAATAAACAAACAATTTTAACAAATGAACGAATGGTTGAAATAAAAAATAATGTTATGGAACATTTAGTACGATTATTGAATCATAAATCACGTATATTTAAAGATTTTTCAATCGGTATGCAAAAACAATTGGAATTTATTAATATGATTAAGGTATGTGCCAAAGGGGAAAAAAATCCAATTTTGAATTGATAATTTCTTGTTTGTAACCAACAAAAAAAAATTAACATTTTTCAACTCTTCAAGGATTGTCAACACACTATTCATCAATTACGGAAACATTCGAAAGATTATTCACAAATGATGTTTGAAATACGATCAATTGGTTTGAATTGTAATAATAATCAAAATCAAAATTGTTTACAAATGTTACCATTATGTGATCCAATATTAGTAAATGATCCATTGGATCTAATCAAAATGGATGAAATTCTTAAACAAGATTCGATTGCTGTTGATAATAATGAAATAAATTCAAACAACCCGAACAACATCCATATGGCAACAACAATAAATTTCAATAATAACAACAATAAACGAAAAAAATTATTGATTGATTCATTTTCATGTAATTGTATTGCAAATGGTGAATCATCATCATCATCATCATCAAAAATAATCATTGAACAATTGCAACAAAAATTTCATCTACTCATACGTTATATGCAAATAATACAAGAATTTAATTTTATAAAAACATTACATTGGACAAAAGCTATTGTTGATCAAAATATTTGGAAGGTTTGTTTTTATAATGAAAAAAAAAGATAATAATAATAATATCCCTTTCCAGAATAGCCCCTTATTTTTGTTTTTCTGAATCTTATCTTATGATGTTTGATTCAAGCAAACAAACATCAAACAAACAAAAACAAATCCAGCTCAATATCGAGCAAACATCATCATTTTTCCTTATGATCCAATCCTTATATTGTTTTTTGTTTTTATTATTATTAACTTGTTTTTACTTTTTATTTTTGTCTGATCCCCTTTTTTTCTGGTTATATCATGTAATGGCTTTTCAATTATATTTGGATCATCGTATTTTGTATTTTTTTTTACACTATTACTATGGAACAACAACAAATATAGTGCCATTGGAAATGTATGAGACGACGATCAAAACTATTATTATATGGAATCAATTTTTATATTAACAATTTAATGCGAGAATTAACTATAAATGATTCGAAAACTTTATGTAAGTAGGAGAAAACAAAACAAAATAGATAAATTTTTTTATTATCTATCTATTTTCATTCTGTTGATAAAATAGAGAATGAAAAAAAAAGTTAAAATTTCATTAGTTTAAAATCCTCTTTTCGTATCCAAATACTTTTCATTTTCATTTTATCTTTTCTTTTTTTTCATGATATCCAATTTTTCCTTTTTCCTTTTTATTATTATCATTTCAACAAAGTCTTGATCATTTTATTATTCGTTTTCTTTCTACTTTCTTTCTTTATAACTATCTTGTCTGTGGATTTTTAGTTATCGGTGTGTGTTTATGTGTGCCTGTTTGCTGTAAAATGAATTCTAATTCTATTATTATGTTTTTGTTTTCATTTTTTGATACTAGCTATTTGGGATATGATATTTGTCTGTATTAAAGAATGTTTACTATTAAATTTGGCCAGAATCGATCGATATGAAATGAAATTGTCGACAATATTAACAAATAAAAATACTGATAATAATAATATAATCATACCAATTATGGATGGCCATCATAATATCTTAAATATAGATCATTCAACAACAACAACAACGATGAAACAAAAACCAAATTATTTCAATGATGATCATGATGAAAAACAAACGCAAGCCGATATGATTAAAAATGATTCCATTAAATTAGAACCTATTGATACACCGCCTATGATTAATATACCAAGATACGTAGATGGTTATAATGATGATGATAATCGTAGAAGATTATTATGTGATACAACAACAACGAAAACAACAACAAATTTTTCTCAAAATTTTGAAATAGAAAATTCATCATCATCATCAACAGAATCAAGCAATTCATCAATTTCAGTAAATACTAATGATAATTTTACCGATAACAAACAAAATCCTCAACAAATTGATTATTTATCAACAGCCAATGGTAATATTTATGCTTGTCTTATTTGAATCATTTCAATTTTGAATAAATAAATGAATGAATATTCAATGATCATTAAAACAAAAATAGAAAAAAAATAATAACATCATTTCATTAGTTTATTTATTTATTTTAATAATAAAACAAAACAAAAAAAAAAGATTTTTATTCATAATCATTATACTTTTAATGAGCAAAATTGTTTTTAGAATTGTAAAACAAAACAAACAAACAAACAAAAGTTTCATCGTTATCATCATTAATGAATTGGTCCAAAAAAAAGTGGCTTAAATTCGATGGTATTTTTTCTTTCCAATATTGATTATTTTCCATAAAAATTTTTGTTTTGAAAAAAACAACAACAACAGATTAAAGTTCATCTTCAAATTCATGATCATTAACATCATCATATCTATATTTAAGATGACATTTTTTCATCAATGATGATGATGTTGTTGATGATGTTGATGTTGATAATTCTTTTGGTAATTTTGTTAAATTTTTTCTATTTATAGTCATTGTTATTGTTGTTGTTGAATTTTGATGATGATTTGAATGATGACTATTACCGTTACCATCACCACCATTAGAATTATGATTCATCATGGCAATTAATTCATCATCTTTTACATCATCATCATCACCACCAGCACCTCCTCCATCATTTTCATCATTATCATCATCATCATGATTAACGGTAAATGTTTTTTGATTCGAATGAAATGTATTGTTATTCGATCGTATGGATAACTTTGAATGTAGAAAACGTACTGTTGTTGTTGTCATTGATGTTGATGTTGATGATGCTGTTGTTGTTGTTATTGGTTGTTTTCCAATTTTAAATCGATTTGATATCAATGAAGTCCAACCATGTTTACGATAATGTTGTTGATTATCATTATTGTTGCTATTTTTATCATTATTCAAACTATTCATTGTTATTTCTGAACGATGATTCAATGGTATTGTTGTTGATCGTGTACAATTATTTGGTGAATTATTATAATATGATAATGGACGTTGTTGTTGTTGATGATGGTGATGATTTTGACTACACCATTGATCAATACGTAATAATCGTAAAAATTTTGAACGAAATTTTCGTCCAAATATACAATAGATAACAAAATTAATTGATGAATTAATACAAACAAGTACATTGGCAAATATGGTCATCAATTCCAATACAGGTGTTCCTACTTTAAAATATGGTTCCAAACAATTACAAAGAAATGCCGGTGCATTACAAGCTACAATAAACGAAAACAAAATGAAATAAATAAAATCAAAATGAAATAATTTTTCCAAATAAAAATTTTCAAAATTTCAATAAATTAGTAATTAAAATTTACCTATAAATATTGCCACTATTGCAATAAACATTGATGCCAAATGTAATTCACTTTGTCTTGCTCTTGTTAATTCACTACGATTTTGACTTGCCTGTTGTACACTCAAATAAATTTTTACATTCAATGCAGCCAATAATGATAATGGTATTATATAATTAAATGTTAAATTTAAAAATATATAATAAACTTGATAATAGATTTTATTATGACGAAATTCAGTTGGTCGAACCTGATAACAAGTAGTATCAACTTCGGCAAATCTTGGTAAATTAAATAAAAATGCAACAATCGATAATAATGTTAATGCCCATATAGCACGTGCACGTGTTGATAATGTCATTGTCATTAATGGATGACAAACAGCTAAATAGCGTTCAATTGTTATTAAACATGTTGTCCATATTGATCCAGTTTGAGCAAATAATGCTAATGGATAAACAATTTTTACATAATAAACTAATGGAGAATAAGGCAAATCAATGGCTGGACATTCGATATTTGATGAATCATCTGAATCATTATCGTCAATTGAAATCCAATCACTTGAATTACTACAAAATCTTTGTTGATAATAATCATCATCAACAACATCATTGATTGTCATATTATAGTTTGTTTTAATAGCCGCCAATAATAATTTTGTAAAATGATTTTCAAATAATAATAATTTATCCGGTATGATGATTTTTCTTTCATTAAAATGATCCAATATATTGAGCGTTTTATTTAATATTTGAAAACATTTTGAATCCATTTGAATTGACCATTTTGTAATACAATTTTGTAATATTCGATCAATAGGTATTGAATTTTCTATATTCGAATAGGATTTTATACGTAATAATAGATTACAATATAAACTATTATCATCATTATTAGTTCTATTAGTAATGTTACAATTATATGTTAATATTATTGATGGAACGGATTCTATATTGATTAAACATTGTTCAACAAATAAATTGATAGAAGAATTTAATAATTCATTTAATTTTGAATGATCATAAGAATGTAAATGATGATGTTTGAATGGTGATGATAATGATAATGGTAAGGGAAATTCAATATTTTTTGATGATGATAATAATGGCACTGATGATGATGATGATGATATATATGAATTTGATGGAAAACCATTATTCGACATTTTCATCATCATCATCATCATTTTCATTGTTGTTGTTGTCATTATTAGATTTGATGATTCATTTTTATGAATATCATACATTGATGATGATGATGATGATGATGATAGTAATGAAGATGATTGAGGTAATGGTGGTGGTTCACCCAAACAATTTGTATCATTTATAAATGAAATATTTGCTACAACTGTAGCTAACATTTGTTGTTCATGTAGCTGTTGTAATTGATAATCAGCTATTGATGGTATATTTAACATTAATACAGAAAATATTAATACACCATTATCATATAATGTTAATACAGTTAAATAGATATTGATTGTTGATTTTCGCATATCTAAAAAAAAATTGTATCAAATAGAAAACAGAAAAATACATTAATTAAAAATAGAAAAATCAAATTCAAGTTTAAGTTTGTTTTTTTTTGTCAACAAAGCGATTATCATCAGGGCCAAAGAGGATCATTTGGTCTATTGATTCTTTATCGATTTCATTTCCAAATGACAATCATCATTTTCATAATAATAAACGAATCATAAAAAAAAATATCACAAAACAAACAAACAAACAAATTGTCTATCAACAACAAAAAAAGATGATGATGATAACGAAATATAATAATGGCAGTAGCAAATTTACTATGATGATGATCATCACATCTGCAGCCAATCAATACGAGATGATAGTTGAAGGAAATGAAGATGATATTTTTCTGCTGATATTGCTTATATAATTGATTCAATTAAAAATCCAACAAACAAACAAACAAACAAAATGAAAATTTGCTTGAAGCTATTGTCAAATTTGTCAATGAAGAACAAGCGAACAGAGGAAAAACAGCGTAAATAAGAAGAATTTAATGAATTTTAGTTTGGTTGATGATGATGGAATCAACAAGGAAAAAAAAATTGATTTTTTTCCAATTTTTTTTTGACATCCAAAAAAAACCAATTCTAACATTAACACCATTGTTTGTTTTCGTTTTTTTTGTTGACCATTGATGACAAACAAACAAACAACCAAGAAAAAAAACTTGACAACAACAAAAACATTGTCTATTCTATGGATTCTTAAATTTTCAGTTTGAAAAAAATAAATTCTACAGGCAATGTTTTTGTGTTTTTTTTTTGGCTGTTTTTCTTTGAAAACTGATTAAATATAGTAACAAAACAAAACAAAACGGTTGTTTTTTTCCAAACAAAACAAGGGATTTATTTTGTTGTTGTTGAATTTTTTAAATTGTAACAAAATGAACCAAAAAAAACCTTGAAACCAAGTTGATTTCAACAAAAAAAAACAGAACCAAAAAAAACCAAAAAACATTCGAATTCGAATGAGTGCAATTAACCAAACTAACAACTGTTTTGTTAACTCCTACTCGCAAAAAAAGTCATAATGTTTATTTTTTGTTTGTTTATTTTTTGTTGTTTTTTTTTGAAATTTCGGTATTTAAAATTGATTGAAAAACAATCAAAAAAGAGACAACCGAAAAGAAAAAAAAATATTTTCATTATTTTGGCCAAATGTCAATTAATTAATTTCATTTTCGATCTCACTCCCACGCTGAAATTTCTTCTTCTTCCTCATTATTTGCATTCGAAATTGCCTCCGGTTCTAAAAACCAAACCAACCAACCAACAAAAAATTCATTGTAATATAATAATGTCGTGAATAAGACACGAATGAATTTTTTTTTTTCGTTCCGCTTTTGTTTTTCTGTTTCATCATCTTTTTTTACAACAACAACAAAAAAACCCACAACTAACAAAACTACTATTATGTAATGTATAACCAGAAAGAAAGATAACATTATTATTATTATTAAAAAAAAACTTTGTTATTTTCTTTAGTTTCGTTATCATCATTATTATCTATCCATCCGATCAAGATATTCTTTTACTTCGTTTTTCTCTATTATTTTATTCGCTCTTTTTTTTTTGGATTCTACGATTTCATCATCATCATCATCATCATCATCATACATTTCATCATGTGTGAAAATCATTTGTTGTTGTTTCTGTTTCACTGTATTTCATCAGAAAAAATATTGGAATCTTTTCATAAAAAATTTCGTAATCCGAATGGAATGTTTTCAACAAACATTTTTTCATTTCATTTTCAAACATTTTCATTTCATTTTCAAGAATGAAAAAAAAAATATGAATTCTTTCTCGTATTCACGGAATTTTTTTCTTTAACTTGACTTTCATCTTTCGTTCATTCATTCATATGTTTATCATATTCTATTTCGACAAAGTTAACAAACAATCTGACAATGATGAAAAATCCGATTCAAAAGAAAGAAGAATGAATTTTTTCATTTTTTTTGCCATTGTTATTTGCGTGCATGCATGATGATGATGTAAATAAAGTGTTATTATTATGATTTATTCCTTATTCTCTGTCTTCATTTTTTTTCAGATGTTGATTAAATTTTTTTTTTTTCATTTTTTCTCATCATCATACTATAAAGGTATTTTGCTTTCACTTTCACTTTCACTTTTCTTTACTTTCACTTATTATTTTTCCCGTATTTATACAATGTATGTACCGAGAATTTTTTTTTTTTTTTTTTTGCAGAAAATGATTCTGGACAGGAGGATGTTTGTGTGTGTGGGGGGGTGGTAAAATATGACCCATATTGAATTTCGAAAAATGATGATGATTAGGAGGAGAAAAAAAAGTTCTTGAGTGATGCTCAAGAGAGAAAGAGAGAGAGAGAGAGAGAGAGAGAGAGAGAGAGAGAGAACTGAATAAATCGATAATAATGTCAATAAATAAGACAAGACAATTATAATTGACTGAATGATTAATAATTGAACAGATATCGATTAGCTAAAAATGTTTTTTTTTTATTTTTCTTTTTTTTTACAATATTTCATAGTCAATTCTAATTTAGTTTTGCACACAAACTTCAACATATTATTATTCCGATTCTCTCAATATTATCAAGTTCAAATATCGATAGAGAAAGAGAGAGAGAGAGAGAGAGAGAGAGAGAGAGAGAGAGAGAACTGATGAAATCGATAATAATGTCAATAAATAAGACAAGACAATTATAATTGACTGAATGATTAATAATTGAACAGATATCGATTAGCTAAAAATGTTTTT